CTCGAGTGTAAATGAATCCATCAAACAACAAGTCAGGCGTGAGGCAGATCAGCTGATTGTGTTGATGAAGGCGCGTCTCCCAAACTCCCAGCTGTCCACGTGCTCTTTGAAGCGACATCTACTTCTGGCGCGCGATTTGAAAAACAGAGAAAGACTTATATCTGGGTGACTGCTACGAATTATTTTTACAGCTTAAATGTGGATTCTTTGTACAACACACTGAAAAGCCTACCACCCCACTGAAGTCAAGGATAGTTTCCGATGGGCTAGGATAGTCCCCAACAGCAGAGGATAGTTTCTTGACAACAGAAGTTAGTCCTGACAGCCCAGAATAGTCTCCAACGACTGAGGATAGTCCAACGACTGGGATAGTCCCCAACGACTGGAGGATAGTCGCCGAATATAGTTCCCGACAGCCCAGTATAATCGCCGACAGCCGAGATAAGTACCGAACAGTCAAGCATATTCCGCGAAAGCCGAAGATAGTCCCCGACGAGGTAAAGAATCGGTTTAGAGCGACATAGGGCCTCCATCACCCTCCCACGTTGAAGAGGCGGTGTTGGAGAAGCCATTGTTGGTGCGGCCGTTGGAGCAGTGTGAAGGAGAGAGGCAAGGTTGGTTGTAGTGCGAGGCAGATTGGGGTTCAAATGTAAAAAGCGGAGTAATGTGAAGGGGTGTCTAAGCTAAAGGGGAAACCGATTTACAAAAGTCGGAAATATGTCAAAAAAGGATGCAGTTAAAGTAAACACATAAGTGCACGTAAATGAATTAAACAAAGAAAAGAAAAGAAAAAAAGAAAAGAAAAGAAAAAAAAAGAAAAGAAAAGAAAAAAAAAAAAAAAAAAAAAAATATATATATATATATATTTATATATATATATATATATATATATATATATATAATATATATACATATATATGTATGTATGCATGTGTGTGTGTGGATGGGCCCTAGCATGTGAAGGCTCTCTCGCCACAGATAAGTACGTGAATAAATTGATAAACAGAATAAGTAAAATAAAAGGGTAACTTTTGAGAATAGGTATAAAATCTTGCCAGTTTCAAAACACTAATATAAGTTTTTCTAGACATGCAACGAAAATCCCAAGCGATTCATGGGTACATAAAGATCCTAGCAAGTACCACCTAGATTAAAGAATAACAAAATATCAATAATCAATAATAAAGCTTGTGGTAAGTATGAGGAAGTATAACTCATTTGGCTCGATTTCCATAGGATGATTCTTTCCACTAGGTTATCACCTGGCAAATCGACCCAATCTGCCATGAGTAGAGATAAGCCATGAATCTACATGACATCTTGTGAAGGATTCATGTAAACGGCGGGGAATTCGGCAATGCGTTCGGAGGCGTCGGCGAGGCTTGGAATATTTAGAAGGATGAGAAGAGGTGAGGGAGAGGGAGGAAGGGAGTGGAAGGGGAAGTGGAGGAAAGGGTGGGAGGGTTTGGTGTGATACGATCTGTAGTAAAACTAAAAAAAAAAAAAAATAGGCGTGGGTACGGTACGGGCAGCGCAACTATGGTATTCTACAAACTTTAAAGATATCAAACGATATTACCATGCACACGATCACTTTATAGCAATGCCGCGAAAAAAAATATGAGAAATTATGCCATAAACTTCCATAAAGCATCTTTCGAAAGCTGTAACTTTCTCACTAGTACACGGTAATATCTCAGTCGATCACGGCAAAGGCTGGTTACTTGTACGCTAATTGGACTAGAAAGCGCACCCCCCCCCCCCCACACACACACCACACCCACACATCCATCCCATCCTCGTATAGAGAGACGAGAGAGAGAGAGAGAGAGAGAGAGAGCGTGAGAGAGGGACCGGGAGAAGAGACAGACAGAGAGATCCGGAGGCAAGGAGATCAGCGAGAGACGAGAGAAGGAGAGATGAGAGATATGAGAGAGGGGAGACGGAGCTCCGAGAGGACGGAGAGACTGGGAGGAGAAAGAGAGAGAGAGGAGAGAGGCAGAGGGGGGAACGAAGAGAGAGAGGGAGAGAGAATGAGAGAGAAGTCTGAGAGAGAGAGAGAGACAATGAGAGAAAACAGAAAGAGAGAGAAGGAGAAGAAGTGAAGAGAAAGAGAGAGAGAGAAGAGAGTAGAAGAGGAAAAGAGAGAGAGGAGGAGAGCTATGATCATTGAAGACAACAGACCGAGACTGAGATTCTTCCGATTCACGCCATGGTCAGTCGATTGAGCGGAATCACCTATAACCCTTCACAGAGAGAGACGATTGAGATGAGAGAAAGAGAGAGAGAGAGAGAGAGAGAGAGAGAGAGAGAGAGAGAGAGAGAGAGAAGGAGAGATGAAGAGACGAGAGAGAGAGCAAGTGAGAATGAGAGAGAGAGAAGAGAGAGAAGAGAGGAGAGAATAAGAGAGGAGAGAGAGGAAGAGCAAGTGAATGAGAGAGAGGAAGAGAGAGAGAGAGAAAGAAAATAAAGAGAGAGAGAGAATGAAAGTCTTTGTTATGTTATGATTCAGGCTGAAATGAAGTCCACCTCCTTCCTCCTCCTCCTCCTCCTTACTCTGAGGTTGACTTTGAAAAGTTGACCTTCATAGGCTGACATTATTACGCGAGTGAATATCATGTGACATAACGCAATTCGCGGTATGTATGGCTAGGTTAGTGTTTTGTATGTACGTATGTGTACAGATTTATGCACTGTGTATGTGCATATATGTATGAACTCTACATGTATACTTGGTATATGAATATATTATACATATACATATATATGCATTATATATATATAAATATATATTATATTAATATATATATATATATATATATATATATATATATATATATATACATATATATATACTGTGTGTGTGTGTGTGTGGTGTGTAGTGTGTGTTTTGTGTGTATTTCTGTCTGTGTTTGTTCTATGTCTGTTTATGTATGTATTACAGTTTCGTTTTAGTTATTGTTGTTTTCCCAAACAATACAACAACAACAATGATAATAACGATAATAATAATTAGCTCGCATAAATGAGACTGATTTGTGGATAGAACAGTATTATATAATTTTCTTGTTTGTTCCTTACTATTTAGCAACTTCATATGATACGCCCCCCCCTCTCTGTCTTAGTCTCTTTTCTCTCTCCTCTGCCTCTCTCTCTCTCCTCTCTCTCTTGCCCTTCTCTTCTCCTTCTCTCGTCCTCCCTTCTTTTCTCTCATCTCTCTCCTCTTCTCCTCTCTTCTCTCTCTGTTGCTTAGTCTGCCTCGTGTCTGTCTCTGTCTCTGTCTCTGAATATTCTCTTCTCTTTCCTTGTCTTCTCTCTGCTACTTGACTGCCCCTCTAGGGCTCTTTCCTCTCGTCTTTCTACTTCTTGCCTCCTCATCTCTCTTGCTCTCTCTCTCTCTTCCTCTGTCTCTCTTGCTCCTGTGACTGTTCTGTTCTCTTGTCTCTACAATCTCTTGTGCTCTCTCAAGTCTTGTCTGTCTCGGCTCCGGCCCGCTTCCGCGATCTCTATATCTCTACTCTCTCTCTTCTTTCTCATCTCTCTCTGTGCTGTCCTCATTGTTCTTTCTTTGCTCTCTCTTCTCCAGTCCTCCTCTCCTGGTCTGTCTGTTGCCTCTGTGTTCTGTTGTCATGTCTTTCTGTCTCTCCTCATCTCTTCGCGTACTCCTCTCCCCTCTCATCACCTTTGGTCATCAATTATTCTCTACTCCGTCTCTGCGCTCATCTGTTTCTCTATCTCTCTTTTAGCTCCCTCTCGTCTCGGTGCGGCTCTCTAGTTCGTCTTTCTCTGTTCACTGCTCTCTCAATCTCCCTCTCTCTCGCTCTCTCTCTCTCTCTCTCCTCTCTCCTTCCCTTCTCTTCTCTCCTCTCTCTCTCTCTCTTCTCTCTCTTCGTCTCTCTCTCTCTCTCTCCTCTCTCTCTCTCTCTCTCTCTGCTCTCTCTCTCTCTCTCTCTCTCTCTCTCTCATCTCTCTCTCTCTCTCTCTCTCTCTCTCTCTCATCTCTCTCTCTCTCTCTCTCTCTCTCTCTCTCTCTCTCTCTCTCTCTCTCTCTCTCTCTCTCTCTCTCTCTCTCTCTCTCTCTTCTCCCTCTCCCTCTCTCTCTCTTCTCTCCCTCTCTCTCTCTCTCTCTCTCTCATCTCTCTCTCTCTGTCTCCTTCTCTCTCTCTCAGTCTGTCTGTCTGTTGTTTCTCTCTCTCGTCCCCTTCCTCTTCTCTCTTTCTCTCTCTGTCATCACACACACACACAAACTCTTTTCTCTCTCTCTCTCTCTATATATATCACACACACACATATGCACGCACGCATACTCTTTCGCTCTTTCTGTCTTATCCTCTTTCACTCTCGATGTCTGAAACCATCACTCTCTTTTCTCTCTCTCTTTCTCTTGTTGCTTCATTCTTTTCCCCTTGCCTCCTCCTCTCCCCTTTCTCTTTTTCTTTCGTTCTCATCACCCTTCTCTAGATTTCTCTTACACTCTCTCTTTATCTATCTCTCACTTCTTTTCTCTCGTTCTCATCTCCCTCCCTCTCTTTCTCCTTTCTCTCTCTCTGCTCTTACTTTCTCTCTTCTGTCTTCTCAGTTTCTTACTCTCTCTCTTCTTCTTCTCTCTACTTCTCTCTCTCTCTCTCTCTCTCTCCCCTTCTCTCTCTCTCTCTCTCTCTTCTCTCTCTCTCTCTCTCAACACACACACCTCACCTTCTCGCTCTCTCACCCTGCCACCCCTTCACTCTCTCTTCCTATCCACTCCCCATCGCCCCCCCCCCCCCGCCTCTCCCACCATCCCTCCAGACGGTTAGGGGTAATGAGCGAATGGCCACAGTCGCGCAGGGAACCCAAAAAGGCTTTATTCACACATTGCAAAAGTAAACATCTAATCTCATAAATACTAAATAGTAATTTGCACCTCACACATGCCATGAATTCCCGAAGGATTGCCCATGGTCGGTAGGTAATAAGTTAATGTAGAATATAACAAATTAATGTGTAATACAACAAATAAATAGCCAATATGTAACCACAAACAGACAAAATAAAATTGATTCATCACGCGGAGAGAAAAAAAAAGTGTGATCACCGAACAGCATTTTTGCTGTTTTGAAAATGACTGCATCTTAATATTCTATTGTAGTATAAAAATAAAAACAACCACATTAACAATAACAATAACAACAACAATGAGGTTACTGGAATAAAAATAAACAGAGAGCACAGATAAGGGAAATAGGGACCCGTGATTCTGATAAAGTTATGTAGAGATGATAAGATAACAGAAAAGCGGAAGTTAAGTGGACTTGATTGTCTCTGAGCAATTTTTTTTTCCAAAGCGCAGGGGTGTTTGCTTTGGCTTCTGACGACGGAAAATCCTAAACATATATGTATATGTATAGGATTTTTATATGAGTTATTGTGCATATGTATTTTCTCTAATTCATTTGTGACGACACCCGTGCGCTTTCTGTAAATCTAGTAACATAGAAAGGTTACAATACTTATTCTCACTCGTTGAATTACGCCGTTATACAGAGTCGGAAATAAGTCGAAAAACTATGCAAATATTGAAGACATTTTTTGAAGTTTTTCTTCCGAGGCGATCGACAGGATCATTTTGAAAGATAATTTTTTTTTTTTTATAAACATAAAGCGACGGTGAGAAAAAGTTGCATCATAAACAGCTTAGTCAGTTTTGAAATACTGGTCACGAAACAAAGGTTAATTCAGTTTCACATCCGATGCAGCTGTAAGAATTGGCAGTTCATCTCTTTCATACATAACTAACCTAGGTGATTTATATACATTACACTCTAATAAATATGCATACATATGTATAACCGAGAAAACTCGGATTCCTTCATTAAGAGTAAGTCTAAGGCAGCGAGACGGGCCGTTTCACTAAACTGAGAGCACCGAGACTAGCACGAGCCCGCGCATCACTTTCTGTTCTTTTGGACGTAGACCGTGGACTGGCCGGGCGTCTGCGGGACGTTGTTGCCGAGGAGGCCGCCCAGGTCCCCTTTGTTGTTGTTGCCGAGCAGGCCGCCGCCGCCGAGCAGGCTGCCCAGGCCGTTGGTGCCCTTGTTGAGCCCCAGGCCGCCCCCGCTCAGGAGGCTACCCAGGGTGTTGGGGTCCTTGTTGGGCAGGAGGCCGCCGCCCCCTCCGAGCAGCCCTCCGAGGCCCAGGCCGTTGGCGCCCTTGTTAGGCAGGGCGTTGGGGATGAAGAGGCCGGGGCCGAGGCTGGACACGTCGCCGACCTGGGGGCTGCCGCTGCCCTTGTTGTGGTTGATGGAGTCCGAGACGTCCTCGAGGGGGATGATGGAGGCCACGCCGGAGCCCAAGGCCGCGGTGGTGGAGCCCAGGAAGCCCGAGGACAGCTTGTTGGTGATGCTGTTGGTGACGCTCAGCCCGAAGTCCGTCATGGCGTTGGACATCTTTAGAAAAGAAGCGAAATTAATTTTTGAAATTTTTTTTTAATGTAAATGACGCAAAGGGTTCATAAAACGTCTCTAGGTATCCATCTGATAATACATCCAGCGAAAGCCTCCCAAAATAGTCTTTGGTTACCAGCATATGCGGTTGAGACAGAGGACGTAGAGCCTACCTTGCTGATGCCTTGGCCGATGGTCTTGATGAACTCTGGATACTGGATGACCAGAACCTCCGACTTGGACGGCACTGGCGCGCTGGTGACTGGCTTGAGGCTCGACAGATCCAAACTGGGTTTGTTAAGACCAAAGCCAGGCAGACCCAGACTAGACAGACTGGGCAACAGGTTGGGAGGCTGACCGATGAAGATGCCGCTGTTCGTCACCCCTGAGTCTCCCGCTCCCTGTGCGCCAGTCAGTGCGTCGAGAGGCTTGTTGAGCCCCGGCAGCGTGGGGAGGACAAGCCCGGATCCTTGACCTGTGGTTCCGGTACCAAGGAGGCTTACCTTGTCTCCTAGTGTTCCTAATCCCCCATTTCCTACGAGGCTTGGCAGGAGGGAGGTTTTGTCTGGCAGAAGAGAATTCCAGTTCCAAGGCTTTAGAAGGTCCTGAAACCACCCGAAACCCCACGAAGACGGGTCAGGCTTCAGCACTTGAACTTGCGACGTGCTGACGGCCGGTGCAGCAGTAATGGGGACGGGCTTGGGTAACGCGGGTAACGAAGGCAGGACAGGTGCCTGGAAAAGCATAAAATTTCGAAAAATAAAATAAAAACACAAGTATCAATTCTAATCGTTCTTTTTAATTCCTTGAAAATTTGGTAACAAGATTTGTTATGGGCCTCATGGTCACATCTCTGGTGTCTCCTCTCCTGTTGTTCCTCCTCCTTCCTTCTTCGTAGAGGTGCTCGACGGGGGTGTTGTCCGGGGACACTTTCGCTGGGGGGGAAACATGAAAGGATAAGCTAGAAGAAGTAGAAGGAAGAAATGAAAGAAAGCGAAACAGGACTTCATAAGGCACAAGGATCGGGTGTTTAACAAAAACGAGAGAAGGAAACGTATACAGTGAAGGAGAATTGGAAATAAAAATGAGAACAGAATGATGATGATATGAATAAAATGAAATGAAACGAGAGATCAGCGGTAGTCCGAGGAAGACATAAAGGCAGCAAAACAGGACTACATAACGCACATGAATCGGATAATTTAAAAAAAAAAAAAAAAAAAAAAACGAATGCAGAGAGTGTGTGAGAAAGCAATAAAAGGGTAACAAAAGTATTATAGAAAGAGATGATATACAAAATTAATGATTAACAGCAACGAGAGAAAATAACGTATACAAATATGGTGGATGAGAAAATAAAGGAGGGGGGGGATCGTCAATGAGGGACCATATATAGTAAGTAAAAAAAAATGAAAGTGAAACAGGACTACATAAGGGACATGGGCCGTATAATGGACAACAACAAAAGAAAACAAACGTTTACAGAGTTTGAAGGAGGGAGTAAAAAGGAAGTAAAAAGTAAGGAACATAAACGCCAAAGAGAAAGGGGATGATATTACTGAACGGTAAAAGAATGTGCGAAAGCGAAACAGGACTGCATAAGGCACAGGGATCGTCTGTTCAACAGCAACGAAAGAAAGCAAACATTAATTATCACAGCATGGAAGAGGAAGTGAGAAGGAAACAGAGGGAGAAACAAAAGTGACGTAGATAAAGGATAAATGAACGAAATCAAATGATAAATTCCGCGGTAGAAGGAGGGAGACGAGAAGAAAAGTAAAACAGGGCCACATAAGATACAGGAATTTGACGATGATCCATAAAATGGCAAAGGTGTGCGGTGTGGAAGGGGAGAAAATAAGATTGGGAAATATAAGCACAAAAGAGAAAGGATATAAAGTAATATGTGATTTATTACATATCAGCGCTAGTGGGAGGAAGGAATGAAGGAATGCGGAACAGAACTACATAAGGCACAGGCGATGATAAACAACGAAAAAAAACAACAAAAACGTACAACAACTGAAAAAGTGAACAATGTAAGGAGAAAATAAAGAAGGTAACAAAAATACCATAGAAAGAGGATATGATAAACGTATTTAAATAATAAATCAGAGGTAGAAAGAGGGAGGCATGAAGCTAAGCGAAACAGGACATCATAAGACAGAGGAATCAGATGATAAACAACAGCTGGAGGAGACAGACGTATATAGTGAAGAAAGAAGAGGGAGGTGAAACGATAATCCTGAACTAGTGAGACGAAGAAGGGAAGAAAAGAGAACAGGAAAACATAAGACATGGGAAACGGGTGACGAACAACGAGAGAAAACACAGCGGGTATTATGAAGAGGGAAGAAAAAAATAATGGATAAAATGTGCAAAATAAGAGGATATGATAGTGGCGTTAGGAGAAAGAAATTAATAAAGAAGGTAAATCTGACGAAAAAAAAGAAAAATGAAGGATATGATACGGTTATATTCCTAACCGGTTTTCTTTCTCTCTGTCTTTCTGATTCCCCCCCTTCCTCCCTTTCCCTTTCCTTGCTTTTCTCTCCTTCTTACTCCTCCCTCTCTCTCTTTCCCTCCATTCTTCTTCTACATCCTCTCCTTCCCTCCCCTCCACATTCTACCTCCCTTCCTCCCCTCCCTCCCTCACTTTCCTTCTTTCTCTCCCCCTCCCTCCTTTCCTCTACTAATCTCCCCTACTACCACCCTCCTATTCTCCTTTCCCTCCTCTCCTCTCTCCTACTACCTCCCCCTTTCCCTCCTCCTTCCCCTCCTCCTTCCCTCCTTCCTTCCTCCCTCCTTCCTCCCTCCCTCTCCTCCTCCTTTCCTCCTCCCTTTCCTCCTCCTTCCTCCTTCCCTTCCTCCCTCCCTCTCTCCTTTCTCTCCTCCTTCCTCCTCCTTCCTCCCTTCTCCCTCCTTTCCTCCTCCCTCCATCCCTCCTCCCTCCCTCTCCTCCTCCTCCCTCCCTCCCTCCTCCTTTCCCCCTCCATCCCCCTCCTTCCCCTCTTCCCCCCCCCATCCTTCCTTCCTTCCCCTCTTCCCCCCCCCCATCCTTCCTTCCTTCCCCTCCCTCCCTCCTTCCCCTCTTCCTTACCTGGCTGCTGCGCTGGATAGGCATCGTCCCAGAACCACCGCGCTTCTCTCGCATCTGCGCCAGGGGAGGATAGGACCCCCAGTACCGCCAACGCTATCAAGAACATCCTTACTCCTGCCACTCCTGCTGGAGGATACGAGCGGAGGTTAGTTGTAAAGGCGGTGGTGAGTTGTCGGGCTGTTAGGAGTGTCATGAAAAAAAAATAATAATAATAATTACGGTATACATGATCAGAGTTAATATGGCGGTGGAGGATTGGCGGTCTGGAAAGGATGTCATTGGAAAATTAATTTTTTAAATATGGTCTCAATTAATGTAGTGGGTATGGCGGGAGTGAGTTATCAGAATGGGAGGAATGCCATGAAGAAATAATAATAATGATAGTAATAATAATAACAATAATAATAACAACAACAATAATAACAGTAATGATAATAAGTAAATTATGGTATGAATATCACGTTAATATGCTAGCGGG